TTCTAACCCAACAAAAGTATTTATGGAGCTTTTTCTTACCAACCTTTGCAGGAGCTGGTGTGTGCTGGGGCAGAGCCGCGTTGGTCCCTGGCTGAACTGATCCATGCCGTGATTCTGATGGCACACACTCACTCGCTCTGCTCCTTCGTGTGGGGCTGTGGGTTAAACCCAGAACCGGACCACATCGGGGGCTACGCCTTCCACCCTCCGTCGCCCAGCCACATTCCTCGCAGCCCTCACAGCCCGGCTCATGAGGACAGCAGGCCGGAGGTGAGTCGCAGTCATTTCCCATCACCAGTCTTTAACAAAAGCGGCTTGGTTCACGTCGGTTGTGTGTGCGTACAAACATCATAATTTCGACGGGTTGCAGCTGGTGGACGGAGCGGTGGAGGTGGAGGTACTGATGAAGAGAATGGTGGAGCTGCAGCAGCAGCAGGAGGAGGAGGAGTGCACGCAGGAGGAGATGGTTACTCGGTTTGAAAGGCAGAGGAGCGAGAGTATACCAACTGGTAAAAATACGCCCGTTTACCGCCGGCCACTCCGTCGGCCGCTTGGATATTTGCTGACTCGACTTCTCTGACTGCGTTTGTTCAGCGGTGGTAAGAGGAGCTCCACCTGAGCTGGTGTTGGGTCTAGTGGAGGAACCTGAGTTCAGATATGAGGACTTTGCCCCCAGAGGAGAACAGTCCCCATCCACCATGAGAGCACAGGTAGTTCACAGTTTTATCTGTTCAAATATTTTCTAAATGTTACATTTTAACTGTAAACACAAAAGTTGTCGAATTTTTTTCTAAAGGAAAACGTCGAGCAGGGCTGGAACAATCAGTCAAATCAGTCGTGATGAATTGATTAATGAGCAGTTGTCAACTTGTATAGTAATTGATTCATTGGAGTATACAGACTAAAAAAGGCCATTTGCTCAAAACACATAGTCAGATCAGTGATAAAGGCAAAACGGTGCAAAAATACATTTTGCATTTAAGATGAATGCAAAATGTCTGTAAATATGTTCTGCCTAGAACATGTGGCAGATTTAGCTTCAGCTGGTGCAGATCCAGTACAAAAATAAAAGCCTTTTAAGCACCTTTTGCTACCCAGTTATTAGTCCGTTAAATGAAAAAGCAAAACAAAAAAACCCCCCACCAGATCAGCCTTACACTGTGTTGTCGCCAAGTCGAGCAGAAAGGGCTCAGCTTTTCACATGCCGATGTTAATCATTATTGTAAATAAGGATGCGTTATTAATAACTTACCAGTTTAAATAAAGGTTCAATGAATAAATAGAAATATGTTTTAGCTTCAGATGCATCTTTTGGTGCAAATGACCAATCGAACACTAAAGGAATGCTATGTTATTGCATTTTGTGCAAAAATGTCTTATTTAGAAAAATGAATTGAATTACTTATTTGCATCTCTTATTGTAGTTCCAATACTGTATAAAATGAACACTAAAGTGGATAAATGAAAAATCTGCAGAAATGTGCTGTTTCTTAAAATCATGTTAATCATCAGAATAATTGATAGAATAATCGATTACAATAATAATCGTTAGTTGTAGGCCTCCAGTCGAGTCTTCACTCGGTAACAACTTCCTCACCACTGTCAATCACCGATCATGGCCTTTCCAGAGTAAAATCACTAATATCAGTTATTAGCTGATTTGTTTGTGCATCTCATTTGTTCCTATGATGATCTTAAAAATCTCAACATCTGATCTGCAGGATTATTCATGGGAAGATCACGGATTCTCTTTGGTGCAGAGGCTGCTTCCCGACATGGGTCAGTTCCTGGATGAGGAATTTCAGGTACTTTTCCCTTTAATCTCTTAAAAAGCAATGAGGATGAAAATGACCCAAGAGCAAAAAGGCACTCTATATGAATCACTTGTAGATTCAGGAGCACACTGCCTTTGACCTGATTTCCTTAACTGATAAAGAACTAAAATCTAAAAGGTTACTTTGTCATTAAAAATAACTTTAAGACACCTGAAACAAGACAGTGGGCAGTAGTTTTTGTTTGACCATTTGCTGGGACTCTTAACTTCCTCTTTGTCGGGTATCACAGTTGTAAATTTGCAGAACAAATGTCTTTCAATTCTTGTTTCAGGGATTTGCAGGGACTACACACGCTTGAAATAAAAATGCATACAGTCCTATTGGTTAACTTTCGCAAGGATGATTAGTTCAGCAGATTATATGAATACTTTTAAAATATATTTAAAATCGTGATCCGTTTGTGTGTAAAAACATACAAAAGCTTGTTTAAGTTGACGATGGTGATGCAACTTTGCAGGTCGTGAGCAACTTGACTTACAACAGGATGGCCATGCATGAAGACGTAGACACTTACACTCTGAGGAAAGCTCTGTGGAACTACATCCACTGCCTCTACGGCATACGGTTGGTGTAGCACACTCTACTCTCACACCGCCTAAACAAAATGTCCGCCGTATTCCCCGCCGTCTTAAGTCTTTTCTGCGTCTGCAGGTACGACGATTACGACTACGGCAGCGTCAATGTTTTACTGGAGCGCTCTCTGAAGGTCTTTGTTAAAACCATGGCCTGTCACCCCGAGCAGACCACTGCGCGCATTTACCACGCCTTCTGGAGACACTTCAGACACTCCGAAAAGGTACGGACTGGTTCAGACACACACCTTAGCCTGACCTCTGTCATCGCAAATCACTTGACATTTCAACTCCTCTCTGGTATCTTCTCAACAAAGAATGAATCACTGGCATTTCAGACTTTTACCGTCGTTTCCGTCTCTTTTAAATGTCATCAGAAAACGACGCTTTACAGACAGGGGGTTGAAAATGTTTCACCCTTTTACCCAGAGGTAGATGACATGGCATTTAGTTTTTTTGTTTTGTTTTTTTCCCCCCTTTTTTTCCTGCAGGTTCACGCCAACCTAATCGTGATGGAAGCCCGGCTGCAGGCTGCTCTTCTATACACTTTGAGATCCATTACTGCCTACATTAAATGACTTTGTTGCACACCTTCCCTGCAGATGCTGAGCCAGCTATGATGAAAAACTTATTCTCACACACTACAGTGAATGTTTGCGAATTCATATCGTATGTTTCAGTGTTAAATGTTTTTGATGCTGCTTTGTAATGTGGATGTATTTAAAAAAAAAAAAAAAAGTTACCTATTTTTGCACTGCGTATGTCAGGATGGAAATCCCCAATGGAGCCTTGAGCGTTGAGCTGATTTATCTTGCACACACCTGTAAAAGCTACACGCTACACTCCTGGTTATGTCAGGTCAGTTTGTTACTGCATTAGTAAATCATTGATCGGAAAGAAAAATGTTTATTTTTGATGTTTAATTAACACTCTTCTCAGCAAAAATCAACCAGCCTCTAGTTACTGTTTGTAGGTACAACAAGGCGAAGCTGAAACTTAAAATATCTTGTATTTTTATAAGCAATAAAGTTACTTTGTTAATGGTGAAATGTTTTTGACTTTTTTTCTCTCTCTGTCTTGGTTTTGAAGTCTGGAAAAGTCTGGGCATTTATTTTGTGAAAAAAGTAAATTGAATATGGAAATGAGTTATAATATTTCCCTTACTATAACTTAAAGGATAGAAATGAGATTTTTCTGAAAATGGATTACATCTTTTATCATTGGTTTGCCACAACATCTAGACGATTAGTTTAAACCACACCTGTACTTCTGCTTAGATGCCAAAACATTGGCAGTTGTTTTTAATATTGGCAAAAAGTAAAAGTTATCTTTAATCACAAACTGATCTTTAAAGAATCTATTTGGTGAAATCCACTTTTGCTTTTTGAAATATGTCGAATTTGATAAAAGGGCTTTTCAAAATATCACCAGGCACCACAGCTCAACTAACAATTTATGTATTTTAAGAATATTAAAATCTATATTTTTAGAAATCTTGTGGTTCTAGAGTTCAGATGTTCTGTAGTACCGACCGAGTAGAAGATGAAAATGATCTGGGACCCTCAGTTGTGCTTTGGACTGGCTCTGATTTAACCCGCCAAGGTCAGGTGTTTTAAGCTCAAATGTCCACAATATTTTAAGGTTACTGGGAACCTGATTCAGCTGGATGTTTCTGTGTTAAAATGGAATTGGTCGCTCCGACTGTTGCCACATGCTTTCAGAGGTATTCCTGCTACTCTAACAAGTTGAGGCAATGGGCTGGGCTTCCCATTTTACCCACTTCCGTTATGACAAACTGAACTGAAATTGATCAACTCGAAAAATAGACTTGAAAATAATAGGATTTTGACTTATTTAAGATGTTACAAATCTGAACAAAAAGTTTTTTCTACATTGGTACGTGTCGTGGTACATGTCGTACCACTTTTACACCACAAGATGGTAGCAAGCTTCCTTACATTAACTTGTTTAGCGGATGTAAACCAAAGGCCACAGTTAATCGTGAATGTGCATCTATGCTATAGTTACCAGAGGTCAATTTTGCCACAGTTGAAATATTAGTGGAAGCTCAAAAAGTCAAGAAAGGTACCGTACACTAAGAAGTTACGTTAATTTTTCATGCATGCATATAGTTTTTGACGCGGATGTCACACATTTCCTTCAGTCTTCTTCCTGTCTTTCGCACCACTCGGTCAAAGTGTCACATCTGAGCTGCAACTGCACATCACCCAGGAACCGAGGCTGATTCAGCGCGGCTGTCAGCTTTTAAGTGAAATGTAAGTTACTTGTTAAAAGTAAAGGCAGACCTTGTTTTCTTTCTTTTCTTTTTTTTGAAAGTTAAAACTGTGGTCTGAATTAGGTTTATTTATCTAAAAATCGCCGTCATATTGAAGTCATTCCTCTTCCAGATCCGGTGTACAATTTTCAGGCGTGTCTGCTGACGCTAATAGTTAATTCAGGTGCGTTACGTCTCTCCTTCGACACAGATAACCGCTTTCGTTGGAATTTGCGTTAAAAGTCACTGTTTCCGCTGAATGAAGTGTCCACGGGTCCACTCCACGCGCGCCGCCCTCTGGGCTGGTCCTTTTAGTGCACGCCCGCTCCTTTTTTTCCTCACTCATTTTGCTCTCTGAAGCAGCGCGCGACTCTTCTCCAGCCACCCACACCTGGATTCACCGCTTGAACGTCCGCTTCTTTCTCTGGTATGTACACATTGAGCTAATTCAGTGACTTATTTCTGTAATGTAAACTCCATTGCAAAGAAAAGAAAGAAAGAAAGAAAGAAAGTTACATCTATTCTTGAAGTGTTCAAAGGTTCTTGTGTGTCAAAAAAGACACACATTAAAGTATTTAAATGACAACATAACCAGACAAACCCCTGTATAGACTGTATATCCCAAGCAGCCCAATTATATTTTAACGCTGCTTTTCTGACTTATCAATTTGTCGAATTTCTGATGACATACGTGAAAGCTGATAAGAAGCGGCTTTCTGTCTGCTAAATAAAGGGAAGTTCAGCTGCACTTGCCTACGAGAAGTTGATGAAGTGCGGTTATGGCCTTGTTCTCGCTCTCTCCATGATGGACAGATGTCCTACCACAGAGGATGTTTAGAAATCATGCTGCAATGTCAAAACAGTGGAATTTACTTTAAAGAGTTTTGTCATAACCTGTGTTGCCATCAAGAGGGTTGGCAATGTCTCCTCTCAAGCTTTCGCCCTGAAGGGAATTAATTGAAGCACAGACTTTCAAGAGATGTAGTATTTATTTCTTCAGTATTTCATTTGCTTGTGTTAATCTTTTTTTGTTGTTGTTGTCCTTGATGAATGTCCGTCATTTAGTCCAGACGCTGATCTTAAAAAGTTGCTGTTTCTATGATAAGTGGCAAGACTTTTCCCTGTCTTTATAAAGTATAACCCAACACGGCCCAGCTCCTTCTCTGTCTGTTGCTGCACACCGTCAGTGAGCTGTCTATAAGACAGCAAATTTGCTTTTTTGGCTCACAAAAGTTGCCAGACAGTCTCAATTTCCCGGCAAATATCTGGCAGAATGGTAAAAATGGCTCCATTGGCACCTAACAACTGCCTTAAAGCATACCAAATTATATATTGTTTGGATTTGTGATGGGTACATATTCCTAAAATTTTCCAGCTAGATCTTATTTCTGTCAGTGTGTTAGATATTCCTTTAGTAGATTATTCATAGTACATGCCTGCAGGAAACCACCTAGAGGAAAAGGCTGGGCTGCCTGTTTCCTCAACATAGCCATCTATCAAAAAATGTTTTTATGGTTTTAACATTAAGCTTGGGCAGGTTGCTAATCCTTGTAGTTTTTTTTTTTGTAATCTCTGAAAATATAGGTTTCACAACTTTAAAAAGTTTAAGGGCGATGAAGAAATTGTGAGAGTTTTGATGGGTAAAACCACTGTTAGGCCGGACTCCTTCACTTCCTGTTTCTTTACGAGGTCAGTTCCTGTCTATAGCCCTGGAGCTACATAGAGGCAGGAAGGAAAGGGACTTGTGTATATTCTCTGCTGTAGGAAGAATTAGAATTGCACATTGCCATAGTCCTAAACACCTGCATAAGAGCTGAACATGACACAAGGCAGTCAGCTTCCTCTTGTTGGACAAAGTCTCGACCCTCCAACGTGTAGAAAACAGGGGAAACCTCTGAGAGTTACAAACAACAATCCGGGTCTGGCCTCTGTATCTCAAGGATGTGATGACATCATGTAGAAACAGGACGTCCCGATGGCTGAGACGCCTTACTTTTCCACTGTTCCCCCTCTAACTCCGTCTCCCTCTCCCCTCTGTTGCAGTGTGTGCGAGAGGGTTCAGTGACAGCTTGCTTCCCATTGTCCTATCATTCCTGCCCCACTCGCATTCTGCATCCTGTCGAGTTTCCTGCTCACGGTGCGGAGTTAGAAAGAAAGGTCCGACCACAAAAAGGTAAAAATAATAGACCAAGAGGACGGGGTGGCAAAAGCAATGGCTGCCGTCTTTAAGGAGAAATCGGTAAAATAGGACAGATTTAGGATCGAGCGTGTGTGTGTGTGTGTGTGTGTGTTTGACTGCGGTGAATTTTCCCTCTGGGAGCAGCTTATCTGCAGTCCACTCAGCAGGAAAGGGTGTGTCACTTGGATATGGATGTTTGCGGGAGTGACGGTGTTGATGGAGGGGTTGAAGTTATTGTGATTTTTTAGAAGAATGCACAGAATGCTTGGTAGTAGTTTCTAGGTCAAAGTTTTGTTGCTTCCGTACATTGTTTGAACTGGACAAATCCAGCAGTATGCTGAAACGTACTCGAGCGCTGAAGTGGAAAGTGACATTTCCACAGCTCTTCTTCAGTACCCTTTTTATGAACTTCTGCATCAAAGATGGAGATTGGGTCTGATTGCCAGTAGATATGGGCAAAACGATTTACCTTCCAGTACCTATTACATGTCCAGTTATTTGAGATTAGGTGGCTCTCTGTGTTGCCCAGAGTGTAAACATCTAAGAAAATAAAGCTTTTTCTTGACATTTATGAAGATGTATCTGCTTTGCAGTGAGAACTTAAAAAGTTTTTTTTACAGTTTTAGCTGAAGACGTATTGCACCTAATAATCTAAAACATCATTTCGAACAGAACTGTTCTATCCTGCCTAGAAATGATATAATATGCACTTTGAAAGTTATGAAACACTTTTTCCTTTCCTTTGCACGCACATGCACACACACATATATATTGTACATATATTTCACATGATCATAATGTAAAGTAGAAAAGAACATAAATTTTAAAAAAAGCTGTCCGTTTTTATTGATAATTCATGAAACAAAATGTTGAAAGATATTTATAGCCTTCTTAACAATCGATGAAAAAATTGTATTTTAACAATACAGCATTCGTGCCCTTCTGGTAATTACTGCCCAGTAGTTTACATGCTTGCACTTGTACTTTGACACTTTATTTGATCTGGAAGGCCTTCTAGTCATCACTCTGATCTTTACCTTTTTTCTTTTTTTAGATTTTTTTTTTTTTTTTTTTTTTTTTGCATTAGTGGCCTTTATTGGCGGTTACCAGGCAGGAAATGTTGGATGTCAAACCGAAGACACCTGCACTGATGGTTTAAGTTGTTTTTTTATGAGTTGATGAAAAAAACGTGAGACTTTTGCTTTCTCTATTTGAAGCATAGAGTAGCATAATGTTGCCATTCTCCCATTTTGTTGCTGACCCCTGCTGGTCAGCTGTCTGAAAGAAGCTATCATATACCCCATTTACAAGAAATGCAAGTTTGCAATTTTGGAAATATTTGGGTTGCAGAAAATAAAGATGGTCGTAGTGTTGAAACTAACATGAAAGTTAAACAGTTTTAAAACTACAGTCTTTGGTCACACTTTATTTGAAGGGGTGTGCATAAGACTGACATGACACTGTCATAAACATGACATAACACCTGTCATGAACATAAAGAAGTCTTTTTGAATGTTTATGACAGTTGTCATGAAGTGTCATTCAGTAAGTAATGACACTTTTAATGCAAAGTTACTCTAAAAGTTGCATTGAAAGTCCATTAAAAGTGCCAACTTTGCATTAAATTATCATAATTTACCAAATCATGCAAAGTTGGCACTTGATCATGCACAGTTCCATTCTTCAAGAGGAACGGTCCCACTGGCCTGATAAATAAAACAAGTTTAATTCAAAAAGTAAAATCAACACGTTTTACAAGAATCTGATAATGATCCATTTCTTAAAAATCAGGTATCCCTGGACAGAGATATCGGTCTTCATTAAGCCCACTCTGATTCAGAAACCAACAAAAATGTTGTTCTCTTGTTACCAATTGAGCAGAAATGAATGCGCAAGTTCATTGTGTGAAGCATTAATAATAAATAATATACCTATGTACAGCATGAGCATTATTGCGCTGCCTCTAATGTCTAATACACCAAACGTGTCTTAATATTCTCTCTCTTTTTCTTGCTGCTATATTTGAAAAGTTGCTTTATGAAATAAAAAATCAAACATGCATCTGCTGCAACTATCTGTGATTCTGACTTTTACAGTAAAAGTTTATTACAACTTTAACTCCGGAGCACGACCATGCAGAGCAACGGAGAGCTCTGCATGGCTCTCCGCTTCTGGAGAGCTCACCATTTATACAGTCAACGTTTTTGGTATTTCCGCTGAAGCATTTCATGGTCAGCCAGCTGGGAAACTGTGTCTGACTTCAAACAGACAAAACACGAGCGCAGGTATTTAGGTGAGACGACAGCCCACGAAAAAGCTCACATGTGAAGCTTGAGTAAAGTTCTTTGATGCCTGGTGAATATTAGCAGTGGTGCAGCCAGACTTATCAGAAACGAGCATCGCACTTCTCCTCCAACAGAGGAAGCAAGGTTTGTTTCACAGCGTAGTCTAATTATTACTTTGTATTAGTGTGCTGCTATAAAAATCTACTATGACATTTATCGACCAGTCCACAACAGGAGGTTGAATCTGTGCTTATTCAAGTCCCAAACATGAAGAGGGGCCGTTTTGCGCAGGGGCATAACCGAAAAACAGCGATTGCTCCACCATTAACTTCACCCTCAATGTATACCAGGGGGAGAGGGAAGCACTAATGCACCTTCTGAGTGCTATATTTCCTCTTTAAAAGTCAAAGTTTGTAGTAAAAGCTATCCCCCCTGCACTGTATCTCATTGTTGTCATATGTAATTACCAAGCAGTGTGAGCTCAGACTGTCAGACTAAGTGTGATGTTTATAGGAGATTAACTGTGCAACCCCCCACTTTACCACTCATCACCAACACCACAGAACGCCCACACACTCTCATACTCTTAACCCTCGTACATGTTATGACTTTGAAAGCTTGCAACCTGAACTTCAGTGATTATTAAACATATTAAGGTGAGCTGCTCTGAGCAAGTGAGAATTTCCGATCACAGGGAAACGTTTTTTTTTTTTTTCTTTCTTTTTCTATCTGGAACCCACAAATCAGCTTCAATCACACCAGTTGTAAATTTAGTACAGCTTCTGTGTGCAGAGGGTGGAAAACAAAGCAATGACAGGATTATCTAGTTAACGGGAACCTAACAGGGAATAATGACCGATAAAACACTTCCCAGTATATGTGTGATTGCGACTGCTTTATTATTTCATACCTGTTTGTGGTCACCTGCCAGTCCCAAAAGGGCAGGAAGAGTGACAACTGAACATAAAAGGGCAAAGGAAGGCTAGTTAAATCAAAATGGCCTCGGTGACGCCCCATATCACTTCTACTTTCCTTGCTTCACTCAGTAACAGCATCTGAGGAGTGGATGTAGAGAACGTGAAAGGTGCTGTAGCACAGAGTGTAGAGCAGCAACAGAAAGGAAAGTGTGAGCTTTTGGTGTTTTTGCGGCTCTGCAGCTGCTCTGGGTGTGTATGTGGATGGACTCTGGCCTCGGTTTCCAGGAAAAGGGGGGAGCCATCAGAAGGGTGGACAGGAAACCCTAACAGGGCTAGCTTCCTGTAACTCTCACGATGGCCGGTCTGATAGTGAGAGAATGTTTGTGTGTGTGAATTTGCTGCTGTATTTTCTGCTGCATTACATCGCCCCGAAACAGCCACTGTTGCTGTGAAGTTCTGTAAGAACGTCGAGGGCTTTTAGAGGGGAACGAGTAAACCTGCAAGTTGCCATTTTGTCACAATGAAAGTAATGAATGATTTCTCTTCCTTCTCTGCCATAACTTGTATTGTTCTCATTTTGTGACTTCCTGTGCATTCCTGAGTAGGTGGGGTGGCTGCAGCCTGGAAGGTTAGCCATCTTGAAAGGTTGCAGGTTAGAATCTCAGAGCGATCTGCAGATATTATCCTGATTTATGTGTGTGAGCTCAGCCAAAAGTAATCACTTCTAAATTAAAACCTGCATTTGTCTGGGCGATGATCTTTTGGGCCAGCTTTTTATAACTTCCAAATATAGACTACACGTTTTAAAACAGACCATACATACAAAAGTCCTGCTTATTTTCTTGTAAATGTATTCACACCTCTTAAGCTTTTTTCACATTTTGTCACATTACAATCTCAAACTTGAAAGTATTTTGAATGGATTTATATGTGAAAGTCTCGAGTCTTCTGCACAGTCCTGGCATTCTTAATCTTCCCATCAACTCTGACAAGCTTGTCTCTGGCGAAGAAAAGGATCCCGTAGCATGATGCTGCCACCAGCATGTTTCATTGTGAGTACGGTGTGTCCGCTGTTTGTCTGCCACCGCACTCTGACACATCGGCAAAAAAAAGCTTAGGTTTGATCTCATGTTTGCTGTCTTCCCTCTATGACATGAGACAAGCTGCAGAAACAACCACAAAAATACCTTCTGGTTTGTGGTTGTGATGTGAAAAAAAATAAAAAATTAAAAAATAATAGGTGTTAATGCTTTTTTTTAGGCTCTTATGTGAATGGAGAACATGCATCTTTGTCTTGATTTTGTCAATGCTAACATATCAAAACAGACACTTTCTGATGATTATTTTTCGTACCAAAAGATGCCATTCCAAAAATCTTGCGTGTTTTTGTTTGTCTGCTTCTGTACAGTTTCCAGAAGCCAAAGTGAAAGTTAAGGGGTTTCAAAAGATTTCTTTTTAAATTGTGTTGTCTTGGAGACGTGAAATATTTCTGAAAAGTACAAAAAAGAAACACCTGAGTAAAGACACCACAGTTTCATAGTATCAAGATATCAACACATCTTAGACCAACTCTTTTCAAATGTGGTAACATGGCTATTTTTACAGTCAGAGTAATGTTTTTTTTTAACAGACTTGCACAAAAACGTAGAACAACCACCAGCTAAATTTGTGTTTAACTTTGAAATCTTCTTGATGTCAGCGACATTAGTTAGTGAGGCTGTCTGCTCCTAGCAAGCCTGCAGTGGGGTTCTTGACAGACATGCCTCTTGTAACTTAGCAACTGTAATTTTAAAACAGCGTTACTGTAATAATATTTGTGATGGGTGGTGCCGCTTTAGTTTTTAGACTACGTCTGGTTTTCTGTGTTTCTTCATAGCAGCTTAGGCCTTCAAGCCTCCTCATGCATAATCTGATGAAACACGCTTTTTATTTTTATTTTTAAGAGTAACATTTCATAACCGAGCAGAACAATTCTTATCCTCTTGTCATCTTTTACAGGAACAAGAAAGAGCAAGCATTTAACATGGCTTTTGCTTTGGTGCTTCATTACAGGGTTGAGATTAGGATTTTATTGGTGGTCTTCAAGGTTCTGACTTGATGATACTTTAATGATCTTTTACACTGTCTTGCTCAATCTAGAAGACAGCCAATTGAGCTTTAATAAAAATATTCCAACACAGAAACAGATTATCTCGTCTTTACAGTTGCTTCTCTTAATTATATCCATATTAGAATAGCTGAAGGCTCACAGTGTTGTGAAAGACCCAGTTCATTTGACTCCAACAGGTCTTGACAAGTTAACTCTATAAATTGTGCAATCAAATGATTTAGCTTTTTCTGGGCTTCTGCATTTTAAAAATATAATTAAAAAAAGTGCAGGGATATATATATATTACAAAAGTGATTGTGATCAAAATACACTTTAAAATCAGACAGATAACATGAGTAAGTGTAGTTTTCAAAGTATGATTTTGTGTATTAAGGAGAGAATGGTATCGAACTAACCCTATATGTGAAATTGCTGTAAAAGCAGGAATGTCTCGGTGTGGCCTAGTCAAAGTTGTATCTGGTTGAAATATTGTAGCAAGACTTTCCACAAGGTCTCTGTGGGTCTTCATGCTTGAAGTTCCTCCAGTGTGGCTGAAGTCAAACACTTCTGCAAAGATATAAAAGATTAATCTCCAGTTGGCTGTAATGCTTGTTGGCAGCCAAAGTTACAGTTATTGGTTTTAGGGGCTAATAAATGTTCACATATGGACAGACTGGTTTATATAATGTTTAATAATGAGATAAAATTGAGAAAAGAGCTTTTTGTAGTAAGTCTGGTTATATTTGTTGAATCTAAAATTTGTTTGATGAACATTTAAGCCAGACTAAAAAGCAAAAACAGAGCAAATCTATTATGTTTTTTTTTTCTTCTCACCACTGCATAATGTATATCGTTGGATAAAAACTGACATTAACATTAAGTAGAAAAACAAGACATAATAATAATAATAATAAAAAAGCTTTAATGTAGCATCTCTTCTCATGTTTCTCTCTGCAGCATTCTGTTTTTAGCCAAGCTCTTTAATCTACTCAGTAATAAGATCCCCTAAAACAAAAAGGTTGACATCATTAGAAATTTCTTCTAAAGCAGCAAAGAGTATGTTGTTAAAAAAACATGAGACGCAAGTCGTTCTGCTTTTTACCTAACAATTTTTAGAATTCCCATTTGCCCTCATACTAATAATTGGGTAACATGTTTTTTTTTTTTTTGCTGAATTTGACAAATTTGACAAAACCTTGAAGTGATACTAAATGGGATTTGAAAAATACATTTTATTTCTGCTGAGCTGAGTCAAATGATAAGAAGAGCAGGAATTCCCCATCACTGCAAAGCAGTTTGCATGTATTAATCTATTTTTATTAAAACCATGTAAAGTCAGTTCATGCGATGAAAGCAGCTGATCAGCTTTAGTCCTTTTAAGCAACTGATACTTCATGTAGATTGTAGAATATTTTTCACTAATGGCTTCTTATCGATGCAGTTTAAGCTCAGTAACCAACAGCTGGCAGTCAAATGCAAACACTCTTATCTTTTAAATATTACTTAATGCGAACCTGCAATATTTTTAAAGCACCGCCACTAACCAGAACAGCTTATGTTTATAGCCCTCGTTGTTCTGCTTGCAAATAAAACATTTGACAGTTTTTACTGTACGTTTCTTCCTCTTTGTGTTTGCGTTAGCTTTTTATTTGCTTTGTGATTGTGCAGTCTGCCGAAACGGTGTGGTTTTCTCAAAACTGGAAGTCGGGATTGACACAATGATCTTTGTCAAAGCCATTACGCACCTTCACGGCCGAGCCGCTTTATGTCCATTACCCTTTGCTCCTCTGATGACATGTCAAAGCTTGTTACGCCACAAACTCTTAAGCGTCCACACGCACATGTACATGTGTGCACAGCTGTTGACCGAAAGAATAAGTTAATAGCCTCTCTTGAAACGCCAAAGCAAAAAGGGAAGTGGCTAACCTCACATCTCTCTCTCTGTCAAACCTTATCTCAAGCTGTCTGTTTTTTTTTTTTTTTTTTTGTCTAACTTCTCTGCTCACAACTGCCTCACGCTTTACTGCTCCTAAGCCTTTTTTCTCATATTCGGTCCTACAGTTCCCTTTCTTCAGTTCTCTGCCCGTCATCCCCGCTTTGCCCCGCTCTACCCCACTAGCCCCCCCGTCACTCAACTCCTCCCCTCTCTTTTTCTTTCCAGTGGCGATGGTGATTGACAGATGATCTGACAGAGGAAGACATCAGGTGAGGAAAAAAGTGAACTTCTCCTTCCTACCCCACAATTAATTCCTCACTCTCCATCTCCTGCACCTCCTACCGTTTAAGGGAAGTTTTTTTTTTTTGTTTGTTTAAAGTTAGTGACTTCTCTCTCTGTAGTTCTCTGTGGTTATTTTGATCAATGTGTGTCAGTAATCTGAGTTGCTTTCGGTACACATCAGCGCCCAGAAATTAATTCAACTGCAGTGATGAGACACAAGTTCTTTTCTATTTTTTTTTACCCTCCTGAAGAAAACAATTATTTTAAAAGTGAAAAAAAAGTTACAAAGAAAGAAAGAATAAATCATCTTCTTTGCATTCACAGACGCTGTTGCCGTTCCGGTTATTATGGGGTGTGCCTGTTGCAAGCAGAAAAAGTCAGCCAAATCATTAGGAGCAACATCAGGAACAGTAGATGTTACCGATCTGTCTGCGAACAATGCAGATGGCCTGTCTGGAGGTTTGTCCCAGGGACGCTACTGTCCGGACCCCACTCAGGCCATCCCAGACTTCAACAAGCCCTTCCCATCCCCTTCTGCATTCCCCAGCACCAATGCGCACCCTCGGCCTGGAGGCATGGGTAGGCAAACCATCTCCAATTTAAAACGTTAAAGTACTAATCCTCCTTTGATGAGTTCTCTGTCGTGCGATGTCTGTTTTCTGATTTGCACCAGCACAAATATTTGAAGAACGGGAGTGAAGTGGCGGATGGATGCGTTTTGTTTTTTGCTGCAGGTGGCGGAGTCACTCTCTTTGTAGCTCTGTATGACTACGACGCTCGCACCGAAGATGACCTCACTTTCATGAAAGGGGAAAAATTCCAGATCATCAACAACACGTGAGTTACGATAACACGCACTTGGAAAAATACGTATTCACACACCTTCAACGTTTTCCACACTTTTCATGTTGCAGCCAGAAACTTTGGGGTGTCTTAATGGGGTTTGTATGAGACAGTCCAGCTCACGTTGAGTAAAATTATAAAGTGGAAGAAAAAGGATACATAAAGTTATTTCTTTATAGATTTGTGGTTTCCATCTGTATTCAACCCCCCGATACTCTGAAACCTCTGAATAAAATCAAACCGATTGCTTTCAGGAGTCACCTAATGAGTAAACATGAGAGTCTGTGTGTAATGAAAAGTCCCGCTGTTCTGCAAAGGCCTGAGAGGATTGTTAGAGAAACCAACAGCTGTGGAGACAAACAGCTTATGTGGGAGAATCTGTTGATAAGACAGCTGATTTTTGTGCAATCCAAAAAAAATCTTTTCAGTGAGTGACAAGGATGTCAGTGTTAAATACCATCATAGCCGCCTGTGAAAACCGATGATGGTGAGTTGGATGACTTTATGATACATTACGTTACGTTAACGATACGTTAAAGGAACTGAAACTGGGGCTCAAAAAATGTTTTCATGTCTTAGAGAAGCCTAGTTAAAATCTAATTTAGGACTGGACTTGGGAATTGGTTCATCCGATCTGATGGAGCTTGAGCTTACTTTGCTTTAAAAAATGGACAAAAAAAAAATTCTGGACGTTTCTTACAGGCATGGCTGCAGAAGAAGGTGGTTCTACAATACAAATGCATATCACTTACATCCTGTTATATTGTTAATATTGTTAATATTTGCATTTGCTAAGAATGGTCATAAACATCTGAGTTACTCCTTTGATTGTAAAGTGGCAAACGGTAGAAAAAAGGTCAAGATAGGTGAATATTTTTAGGAAGCAACATAAGCAGCGTTTCAATGTCTGCAGACGCTACACGAAAGGACCGCAGCAACAGATAAGAATTTCTCTAAGAGCTGACAGCGTATGGAGTTCTGTGAAGGCTAAATTGATCCATGTTCAATGCGTTAAACAAAGTCATTTGACTGTTTTTGTATGCATTAAATTCCTCCCATTGTGAATAAATGTCACTGATTAAAAAAACATCTGCGGTCGCGGCGGCTGCAGGGCACGTCGACCAGCCTTTGTTATTGAAAAACATTTTGTTCTGCTCAGGAAATCCAAAATCAATTTACATGATGTTGACATTTGACCAATGCTGTTTATTTCTTATCCAGCAATATCTTTTTTCTTTTTTTTAATAAATTGTCTTTGGTTACAGGGAGGGTGACTGGTGGGAAGCCCGCTCGTTGAACACCGGCAAATCAGGTTACATCCCCTCCAACTACGTAGCTCCTGTTGACTCCATACAGGCTGAAGAGTGAGTTTGCACCAATAAACTAAAACACGCACAACATTGACTGTTTGTTTGTTTTTCTGTGTGTGCTGCGCTTTAAGCCAACACTTAAAACTCCCTTAGTGATTGACATGTAGTCTGAAAGCAGAGGTCAAGTGATGTGTGATGTTATTCCAATCACCTGTGTGGCGCTCTCGTGGTGACAGGTGGTATTTTGGGAAGATGGGAAGGAAGGATGCGGAGAGACAGCTGCTGGCTCAGGGCAACCAGAGGGGAACTTTCCTCATACGAGAGAGTGAGACCACCAAAGGTGAGGAGAAGAAACATTCAACACGTCTATATGCGCTATCTCTTTAAAGAGACTCTAAAAACAATCAAAGCTTTCGACTCTTTCACGTCAGCCAACCTCCCCTTCACGTAGCCTTTCGCATTTCTCTCACACAGGTGCTTACTCACTGTCCATCCGGGACTGGGACGACAACAAGGGAGATCATGTCAAGCATTACAAGATCCGCAAACTAGACAACGGTGGCTACTACATCACCACGAGGTCACAGTTTGACACTGTTCAGCAGCTGGTAGAGCACTACACAGGTAACACGCCAGCAGTTCACAAATTCATCCTCCTCCTTCCTGATCGCCTGCCAGCTTTCAAAGCTCCTCTTTCGGTGTCGTCATACTGAAATATCACTTCAGTTGATGTTTAATTCATTATTTGCAAGTCTTTAGCGTAAACCTTGAACTTTTTCACATAGATATTGTTAAATTACTGCCATGACCTTCGGTGTGCTTTAGTGGCGGTGCTGTGTAGGAATGTATGAGTATTATAAACGGTCACGTGCAAAGATGCCTTGCAGTAGAACCACGCAGATAGGTGGATTCCAGTGGTGGAGAAAGTACT